GCAACTCTACATATGATCTACGTACGCCGTTCCTGGTAGGCCTGAAGATAATCTGCACATGCATGTTTATTGATTTCCCGACTAAAGAACTACGTTGGCCAAAATTCAAAAATTCAGTAAAGTATCAATCATGATCATGACCGATCATACGATGTACAAATATGGAAATCAAGGATCGATTATCCGATCGAATCGCACATTCCCGTATTGATATAATATTATTAAAGGTTATATTGTGCAATTTTTTGTTAACCTTTTTTAGTATCGTTCGTGGTGCTACAAAAAGTCACAAGGCATTTTTATCCAATCAGATGCTCAGAATCCGCGTACGTAGTACTACGTTCCTGGTAAATCAAAGTCACGAGAAATTATCATCTAATCAATGCTCAGATTTTGTACACGGACACTTAACTCTTCAGTAAACCATACTCTCCGTACTTTGTACTACGTTCCTGGTAACCATACTCTCCGTACTTTGTACTACATTCCTGGTATCTCCGTATTTCGTACTACTTTCCTGGTAAATTCCAGTCACGCGATTTTTTTATCAGGTGATTGACATCTTTTGATGCGATCTAGGTTAAACCCCGAAAGCTCGGGCTCGGCCTACACCGGACTCCAGGGCTTGACAGTTAGTTATTCATATTACATCATATAGTTGAAAAGGACCAATTAAAAACACAATACGCACGGCAGAGTCCAGAATAGATCATCCCACTAGCTTCTTTAGACGTCTAATTCTATGCGCCTCTCTCAAATGTCGATCACAAGCAATCTTTTTCCAATCAAACAATGAGAAGCGCACACTCCCTTACAGACATAAAGAGAACTCCGAACAATACTAACAGAGGTTATATTGGTGTATCATCTATTTTTTTCGAGTTTAATCAATGATGGGTCAAGTAAATTAAATTTATCACAGACTAGAAATATACCCGAATTGCACATCAACATATACGTACACATTAACAAATATAGAAATCTAAAGTCACAAGATTCAATCTTCCAATCAGATCCTCAGATTTGTAAACAGACACTTAACTCTCCAGTAAACCATGCACTTCGTACTTTGTATCACGTTTCTGGTATGTATAATCCGATCAGCCTTACGTTCCTGGTATGTGCTTAAAACTAAGCCACAAAAAAACCTATCGGACTAGATTCAAACTAGTTTGAAAATTCGGACCGAACCCGGACCGAACTTAAAATTGAGTTTGAGTTTGGTCCGAAGTTTGAAAATAATAAAATTTAGAGTTTGAGTCCGGTTCGACCTCGGACCGGACCCGAACTGAACCGGACCCGAACCGAACCTAGAAGCACTATTCTGTATATAAGAAATATAATTAAGCATAAACTTTTTATATATTTTGTATATACAGTAAAAAATATAATTAAGCAGAATTTTTTATATATTCTGTATATAATAAATATAATTGAGTATAAATTTTTTATATATTCTGTATATAATAAATATAATTAAGTATAAATTTTTATATATTTCGTATATAATAAATATATTTAAGCATAAATTTTTTATATATTTTGTATATAAGAAATATAGTTAAACATAAATTTTTATATATTCCATATACAATAAATATAAAAGTATTTCTATTTGTATATGGTGTATATATACATGGTTAATATAGAGAGCCAATAGATTGCATGATCAGATGTAATGTAAAATTATTTCTTTCTCCAAAATATTACCTATATCTTAAAATTTCACTTATGAAATCACTTTTTAGATTCTAACAAAAAAAATTCCTTGTGAAATTTTGATATTAGCTATAATTCACCCTATTTCTAAATGCACCTTTGCTCGAAGTAGGGGTTTAATTTTTCATTTAAAAAATTGTTTTAATTAATATGTTATATGGATTTACAAATTAATACCTGTGTTTATACACACTGTATACAATTATAAAATTTTTTTTTTTTTCAGTGTTAAGGTGAGGTCTTGCCTCGTATCTTTTATTGGATGTTAAGTTTTTGCCTTATATGGCTACAAATAATCTTAAGAATACTGGCTTAGACAATTTTATCTACGACCTAAA